CATCATCATCATCATCATCATCATCATCATCATCATCACTCATCATCATCATCATCAGCAGCAGCATCAGCGTCAGCATCATCATCATCATCGTCATCATCGGCATCATCATCATCAGCACCACCATCGCCATCATCATCACCATCATCAGCATAATCATCAGCATCATCAACATCATCATCAGCAGCATCATCATCATCAGCATCATCATCATCATCAGCATCATCATCGACATCATCATCATCATCAGCATCATCAGCATAAGCATAACAATCATCATCATCAGCGTCATCGCCATCATCATCGCCATCCTCACCATCACCACCATCAGCAGCATCATCACCATCAACCTATGACAACAACAGCATCATCGCCATTACCATCACCACCAGCATGGACACCATCACCATCAGCAGAATGATAGTAGTAATACGAATTACAATGAAAGGTAAGCATACTCATCAGCATCATCATCATCATCAGCAGCAGCATCGTTATCATCGTCGTCATCATCAGCATCATCATGATCAGCAGCATCATCATAAGCATCATCATCACCATCAGCAGCACCACTATCATCAGCATCATCATCAGCAGCATCATCACCATCATGAGCAGCACCATCATCATCGTCACCATCAACAACCTCATCCTCAGCATCATCATCATCATCATCATCATCATCATCATCATCATCATCATCATCATCGTAACCATAATCCTAAGCATCAGCATCATCATCATGTTCAGCAGCATCATCAGCATCATCATCGTCATCATCATCCACCATCATCATCATCATCATCATCATCATCATCATCATCGCCATCATCATCGTCATCACCAGCATCATCGTCATCAGTAGCATCATCATCGTCAGCATCATCATCATCATCATCATCATCATCATCATCAGCACCATCATCAGCATCGTCCTCATCATCAGCGTCGTCATCAGCATCATCATCAGCATCAGCATCAACATCGTCAGCGTCAGCATCAACAATATCAATATCATCATCAGCAACATCATCATCATCCTCATCAGAATCCACCGACTCCTTGGGGCCACGGCGTGTGAGCTGCTTCCCCCTCCCCAAACCCCTCCCCTGGGAGCCTGGTCCGGCCAGTTTGGAGAGGGTGGGAAGGTTCCGGCCGCACACTTGGAGCGTCAGGGGGCCCCAAAATTGGCCAAGATGGCCCGAAAGGCCCCCCGGACTGTCCAAGAGGGCTACGAGTCGCCGAAAGATCGCTCCAAGATGCCCAAGATTGCCTCCAGACGGTCCCACAGGCCCCCAAGACGCTCCAAGAAGCCACCGAGAGGCGTCCAAAGAGGCCCTCCAAAATCAAAATTCGTCCCATTACCAAAGGAAAACGTATATTTTTAGCACATTCGCCTCTTGAGCACGAGGCCCACAACGGCCAAAGAAGCCTTCAAGATCGAGCCCAACAGGCCCCCAAGAGGGCTCCAAGACGGCCCAAGAGAGCCCCAAGACGGCCCCAGAAGCCTCCAAAATGGCCCAGGAGGGCCCCAGGACTGCCCTAAGAGGAAGCCCAGAGGGGGAACCAGAATGGGCCCCGAAAAAACCTGAGGAAGCGCCAAGAGGCCCCCAAGAGGCTCCCACGAGACCCCCGAGAGGCTCCAAAGAGGCCCCTAGAGGCCTCTACACGGATCCCAAAAGGCCTCAAAAATGCTGCCAGGAGAGCCCAGAGAAGCCCAACAGCAGAGCCGCGATCCGCGACAACCGCCCCCGACGAAATCCAAAGAAGCTGAAAACCCAAGATTCCCCAGAAATCGCGCGCGTTCCACAAACTCCGCTCTTCATTTGTATTGCCACCCCAAGGGGTCGGCGGTGCGGCGTCAGCCAATGAATCGTCAGCATCATCATCATCATCATCATCATCATCATCATCATCAGCAGCAGCAGCAGCAGCAGCAGCATCATCATCATCATCATCATCATCATCATCATCATCATCATCATCATCATCATCATCATCTAGATCAGCATCATCATCAGCAGCATCGTCATCGTCATCGTCACCACCACCACCACCATAATAATCATCATCAGCATCATCAGCATCAGCATCAGCATCAGCATCAGCATCGTCATCGTCATCATCATCATCATCATCATCATCATCATCATCATCATCATCATCATCTATCATCATCATAAATATAATCATGCACAGCAGCATCATCAGTCGCATTATCATCATACTCGACATCACCATCACCACCATCATCATCACCATCAGCACCCCCACCAGCATCATCACAGCTATCACCATCAACAACATCATCACCAAGGCCCCCACGATCATCAAAATGATCACCATCGTCATCGTCAACAGAATCATCATCATCAACATAAACAAAATCAGCAGCCGAAGAATCAGAATCAGAATCACCAGCCTCATCACCAAGGTCGCCAGCACCATCACCATCATCAGCAACATCATCAGCATCAACACCAGAATCATCATCGCCATCATCACCATCCCAATCACCATCAGCACTACCGCCATCAGCACCCTCATCATCCTCATCATCAGCATCATCAGCATCATCAGCAGCAGCAACATAATCATAATCAGAAGCATTATCAGAACCACCATCCGCATCCTCAATCTCAGCAGCATAATCATCATCAGAAGCATCAGCATCATCGACAGCAGCATCAGTATCCTCATCATCATCATCATGATCATCATAAGCATCATCATCATCATCATCATCATCCTCATCATAGTCAGCATCAGCATCATACTTAGCATCAACAGCAGCAGCATCAGCATCAACATCATCGTCAGAATCATCATCAGAAGCAGCATCCCAATCGCCATCACCTCAACCACCATTAGCATCGCCACCAGCATCCCCACCAGCATCATCAGAGGCATCATCATCAACATCGGCATCATCATCACCATCATCATCCTCCTCATCATCATCAGCATCACCATTCACCATAATCATCATCAACATCATCATCGCAACCAGCATCATCATCAGCAGCACCATCAGCATCACAATCACAATCACCATCGTCATTAGTACCGTCATCAGCATCAGCAGCATAATCGCCATGATCAGCATCACAATCATGATCAGCATCATCATCAGCAGCAGCATCGTCATCGTCACTAGGAGCAACATCGCCAGCGTCATCAGCATCATCAACAGCATCATGGTCCGCATCGTCATAATCACCATTGCCATCACCACCACCATCAGCATCACTATCATCATCACCGCCATCATCATCAGTATCAGCATCAGCATCATCAGCATCCACATCCTCCTTCTTCTCATCATCTACAGCATGATCCTCATCAGCAACAGCATCATCATCAGCATCAGCATCATCGTCATCAGCATCGCCATCATCATCAGCATCATCATCAAAACCATCGCCACCATCATTATCATCACCACCAGCACCAGCACCATCACCATCACCATCATCACCATCATTATCATAGGCAGCATCATCAGCATCATCATCCTCATCCTCGTCCTCATCCAAATCCCTCTTCCTCATCCTCATCATCATCCTCATCCCTCCTCCTTATCCTCATCACTCCTCCTCCTTCCCCTCCTCCTCCCGCCCCTCCTTCTCATTCCTCCTCCTCTGTCTTCCCTCCTCGCCCTCCTCCTCCTCATCTCTCCCTTCCCTGCCTCCTGCCCCTCCCCTCCCTCGTTCCTCGGAGAGAGGGAGGTTGGGAAGGGAAGGGAGGGCGCGAAGGAGGAGGAGGAGGAAGAGGAGGAGGAGGAGCAGCAGAAGGAGGAGGCAGAGGAGGAGGAGGAGGAGGACGAGGAGGAGGAGGAGGGAGGTGAGGAGGGGGAGGAGGAGGAAGGAGGGAGGAGGGAGGAGAGCGGAGGGAGGAGGGAGGAGGAAGGAGGAGGGAGGAGGGACCATCATCATCCTCCTCATCATCATCAGCATCACCGTTCACCATCATCATCAACATCATCATCGCAACCAGCATCATCGACAGCACCATCATCATCACCATCACAATCACCATCGTCATTAGTACAATCATCAGCATCAGCATCATCAGCGCCATGATCAGCATCATCATCAGCATCATCAGCAGCATCATCATCATCGTCACTAGGAGCAACATCGCCAGCGTCATCAGCATCATCAACAGCATCATGGTCCGCATCGTCATAATCACCATCGCCATCACTACCACCATCAGCATCACTATCATCATCACCGCCATCATAATCAGTATCATCATCAGCATCATCAGCATCCTCGTCCTCCTTCTTCTAAACATCATCAGCAGCATCATCATCTAAAGCATGATCCTCATCAGCAACAGCATCATCAGCAGCATCAGCATCATCGTCATCAGCATCGTCATCATCATCAGCATCATCTTCACAACCATCGCCATCATCATTATCATCACCACCAGCACCATCACCATCACCATCACCATCACCATCATCACCATCATTAACATAGGCAGCATCATCAGCATCATCATCCTCATCCTCGTCCTAATCCAAATCCCTCTTCCTCATCCTCATCATCATCCTCAGCCCTCCTCCTTATCATCATCACTCCTCCTCCTCCTTCCTCTCCTCCTCCCGCCCCTCCTTCTCATTCCTCCTCCTCTGTCATCCCTCCTCGCCCTCCTCCTCCTCCTCCTCATCTCTCCCTTCCCTGCCTCCTGTCCCTCCCCTCCCTCGTTCCTCGGAGAGAGGGAGGTTGGGAAGGGAAGGGAGGGCGCGAAGGAGGAGGAGGAAGAGGAGGAGGAGGAGCAGCAGAAGGAGGAGGCAGAGGAGGAGGAGGAGGAGGAGGAGGACGAGGAGGAGGAGGGAGGTGAGGAGGGAGGAGGGAGGTGGAAGGAGGGAGGAGGGAGGAGGGAGGAGGGAGGAGGGAGGAGGGAGGAGGAGGAGGAGGAGGAGGAAGGAGGAGGAGGGAGGGAGGAAACCCCTCCTTCTCCTTCCCCCCCCCTCTGGCCCGGCGCTCCTCGAGCAGCTCCCGGTTCGCCTCGTCGGCGACCTGTCGAGCGGCCGCTCGGGAGGGGGCAGAGAAGGCGCCCGTGGGACCCGTCGGGCGCCGCTGGCGGTGGACGAGCGACGGGGAAGAGGCCTGCAGGGGGCGAGGGGGGAGGGAGGGGGAGGAGGAGAAGGAGAAGGAGGAGGGAGGAAGAGGAGGGAGGAGGCGGAGGAAGGAGGAGGGAAGGAGGAGGGAAGAGGAGGAGCGAGGGAGGGCGAGGAGCGAGGAGGGGGAGGAGGAGTGAGGAAGGAGAAAGGAGGAAGAAGAGAGACTGGAGAGGGGAGATCAGGAGAAGGAGCAAGCCCAGCGGAGAATGGGGAAATGTCATTCGGTCATCAACTCTCCGAGACCGTAACACTGAAGATGGGCGTGAGGACCCAGAAGAACAAATCGTCGGCGAAGACAAAAATCAATTATGTAGTCGACATCCGATCCGAATACTGACAGGCAAACGCAAGTAGAAACGGCATGCCGAAGTCCATCGCCATGCTCGCCATCGCTCAGACGTCCATTCCCACCTGCGTCTTCGAGTTCGTGCGGTTACACTTGTCCGCAAGATGTTCCGAGGTGCTCCTCGACGGTCCTCGCCGAAAAAAAAATGCACACGTCCAGGCGAAGCCAAGTATGAGCAGGAACACAATGTTGGGCGAACGTCGAAAGCACTCCGAGGTCAAGCGGAGAGAAACCTTTCGCCAGAGACGGGCGGCAGCCCCTGGCTCCAGGAGCGGTGGGCCAGAAGCAGCGGCAGCTGCGGCCCCACGAGCTTGACCATCGGCACTGGCAGCAGCGGTGTCGACAGAGGAGGGAGCCTGATGTTGCCACGAGCCCCGACCTTCAAATGCAGTTGGGGGTGACTTGCGAGGGTGGCAGGGGCAAGGAAGGATCTGCCTCTTGAGGGATTGATTCGGCGACGGAGAAGAGTCCCGACTAAGAAGTATGCGTTATTCATGGTGTGTGTGTGTGTCTCATGTTGCTCCTGGGAGCTCTTTGAAATACCTTTGAAACGACTCACTCACTCACTCACTGCAGGCTCGTGTGCTCTTCGACACCGGCAGCAGTGGCGTCGACAGAAGAAAACAAAAACTGCATACACTCGGACTGCTGAAAGAAGGAACGCTAAATAAGGAACGAAGCCCCTCTGCGGCTTCAAAAAAGCCTGGGTGCACGAAGAGGGCTAGAGGAACCACCGCGGAAGGACGAAAGGAACATCGAGCCCCTTCCGAATCCAAAGTGTTCCTTATTTCAGCGTCTTGGCTGTACACACAAACTTTCGACGGTCCGCGTGGATACCTCGGATCTGCGTTGGACCCCCCCTGCTTGGTGCGCGGAGCGCGCCAGAGGCGGATCCTGGAGGCGCCGCCAGGGGGCCCCAGGCGCCGACCCGAGAACGCCGCGCCGACCGTCAAAAATGTGGATGCTTACACCCTGCGAAGTGCTCAAGAAATCATGGGTTCAGAACGTCAGAGTCTCAGCATGTGACTAAAAGCCCAGAATGTCTGTCAACATCTTGGGATTCACACTGAGACATGAAGAGTCAATCGAGACCCTGGCCGAAAACGTACGTTTTCTTACGCGTCGCCGAGGGTGTCTGCAGACTGTCTTCCTCGAGCGGCGGGGTCGAGGCGCGGCGCCTCCTGCGCGGGAAGGCACGCGAGCAGCGACCGGCAGCGGGCCCTGCGCGAGATGGCACAGCGCCCTCACGCAGCGGCTTGCGCGAGCCGCCGCCGGCGGCAGGCCACGAGGGAGGCCAGGGCGCTCACGCGCGACCTTGCGCGAGCAGCTCGCGCGCCAGGAGACGGCGCAGGCGGCCCCGCTTCCTGCGTCGCCCGCGCGGCGATCTTCCCAGACTGCTCCACGACAGCAGCTTCTTGATCCGTGGCGTCGGATACCCGAGAACAATGTCTTGGCATGCTTCAGGGTCTTCAAACGGCTGTCTTCCAACGAGGCAGTTCCCTCAATAGAAATGAAGCGTTGTAGGGGCCTGTGAAGAAGGAGCTTGGAGGGAGGGTTTATTCCAACATCGATGATGACTCCTGGGTCTACACTGGTCCTCCTCCGCCTCCTCCTCCTCCTCGCTTTTCTCCTCCTCCTCTTCCTCCTCCTCCCCGCCTTATTATTAGTTCTATTAATATTATCATTAGTATTATTATTTGTCTTCTTACTGTTATTATACATACGATTACTCTTAGCGTTAGTTTTGTGATTGATTTTGATGGTTAATGCCTTAAGCATATGATTCTCAATATTATGTATACTGTTTTACTATTACGTTTACAAAATATCCCCGTAGTATTACTGCTTGGATCAATGGTATGTCTCTTATCATTACATGTATTGTTAGTACTATTCCTCCTCCTCCTCCTGCGCCTCTGCCTCCTCCGCCTCGGCCTCCTCCTCCTCCTCTTCCTCCTCCTCCTCTTCCCCTCCCTCCCCCTCCCCCTCCCCCCTCCATCCCTTTTCCTTATAGATAACTTCTCCCTGTCACCCCGAAGCCAGTTTTAGGGCGGACCGGGTGTTTCGCCTGAGACATCCTCACCATGTATGACTCTGAAGCTTGGAAAGTGACAGCAGCTTCACAGATCGAGGGCGGGTCGTGTTCTAACATGTGGCTCTCGCCATCGCGCCGCGCGCACTCGTTGTAAAAAATGTGCCAGAGTTGGTCGGATTGAAACCGAATCGTTTTCAGAATGTGGCTCTCGCCGGATGCAGGATTCTGCGGGCGCAGCAGTTGCGTTGATTCGCGGAGTTGAAGTCCCAGGAATGGCGTTCTGGCAAGATTCAGGATCGTCAAGACGCAACATTCGGGTGGATCCGTGGCATTGGATACCCGAGAACAATGTTCTGGCATGCTGGAGGGACTTCAAACGGTTGTCTTCCAACGAGGCAGTTCCCTCAATAGAAATGAATCGCTGTAGGGGCCTAGGGAGCTTGGAGGGAGGGTGTATTCCAACATCGTTGATGACTCTTGGGTTTACACTGGTCCCTTTCCTCCTCCTCCTCTTTCTCTTCCTCCTCCCTCATCGCATTATTCTTAGTGCGATGGACTTCTGATTACTATAGTACTTCTCATGATACTAAATTATTAGTCCTATGATTATTCTGATTCTCAACATTAATACTTAACTGTGTTTCTTCATTGCGATTATTGATCTTATTCCTCCTCCTCCTCCTCCTCCGCCTCCGCCTCCTCCTCCTCCGCCTCCGCCTCCGCCTGCGCCTCCGCCTCCTCCTCCTCCTCCTCCTCCTCCTCCTCCTCCTCCTCCTCCTCCTCCTCCTCCCCCTCCCCTCTCCCCTCTCCCCCTTCCACCTCCCCCTCCCCCTCCAGCCATTTCCTTATAAGATCTAAGGGCGGGCCGGGTGTTTCGCCTGAGATTTCCTCACCATTTATGACTCTGAAGCTTGAAAAGTGACAACAGCTTCACAGATGGAGGGCGGGTCGTTTTCTAAAATGTGGCGCTCGCCATAGCGCCGCGCACATGCGTCTTAACAATTTGCAAAAGCTTCACGGATTGAGGGCGACTCGTTTTCAAAATGTGGCTCTCGCCTTAGCGCCGCGCACATTCGTTGACAAACACTGCAGCAGGAGTTTCACTGATTGAAGGCGACCCGTTTTCGAAATGTGGCTCTGGCCTAGCACCACTTACATTCGCTTTGAAAAATTGCAAGAGCTTCACGGATTGAGGGCGGCTCCTTCTCAAACTGTGGCTCTCGCCGTAGCGCCGCGCACATTCGCTCTTAACATGACCAACGTACCAGCAATGGTGTTCTGGAAGGGATCAGGATTACAGTTACGTTGATTCGCGGTGTTGAAGTTCCAGGAATGGCGTTCTGGTACGATTAAGGGCCGTCAAGACGCAACATTCGGGTTGATCTGTGGCGTTGGATACCCTAGAACAATGTTCTGGCATGCTGGATGGACTTCAAACGGTTGTCTTCCAACAACGCAGTTCCCTCAATGGAAAAGAACCGCTCTATGGGGCGTACGAAGAGGGAGCTTGGAGGGAGGGTTTATTCCAACATCGTTGATGACTCTTGGGTTTACACTGGTCCCCCTCCTCCTCCAGCTCCTCCTCCAGCTCCTCCTCCTCCTCCTTATTCACCTCCGCCCCCTCCGCCTCCTCCGCCTCCTCCTCATCCTCTTCCTCCTCCTTCTCCTCCACCTCCTCCTCCTCCACCTCCTCCTCCTCCAGCTCCTCCTCCTCCTCCTCCTCCTCCTCCTCCTCCTCCTCCTCCTCCTCCTCCTCCTTCTCCTCTCCTCAAGCCTTGCAGCCCGCGCTGGGCGGCCGCGGCGGCCCATGGACCCTATGCCGAGGCGGCGGGCGCGAGCCGGCGGCGGAGGCGCAGCGCTGCGGCGGCCCGGCGCTTCGACGCTGGCCGCCTGCGATACACGCCACGCCAGGCCGCTACGTCGCGTGGCTTGAGGGGGGGGGCCAGAGAGGCCTGCTGAAGTTATCGCAGCACTACTACGGTCACGAGGCACGTGCGGGCGAGCGCCACTGCAGCAGGTGGGCGCTTGGCCAGGAATCCTGCTGCGGGCAGGCGGTTTCGCGGGGCGCGCGCCCGCCTGTCGGCGGACCGCGCCATCGCGAAGCTGACCGCCGAGAAGGACCAGCTGAACGTGAAGCTCGCTGCGGGCTCCCATGTCCAAGAGGGACGCGCCAGCGACGAGGTCGGTCACCGGCTCGCTGCGCGCATCCCGGGACAATTGCTGGGCACGCTCCTGGAAGTGCAGGCGGCGAGTGACGACGGCACGAGCCTCGGCGGCCCCGTGGCGCCAACTGGGCTGCGCGCCGAGGCGGACGCCTTCGTGCCATTCAATTGCCTGGAGGTGCCTGGCGACTGGCAGCGCGAGGAGGGCAATCCGGCGCCAAGGTGGTCAAGCGACGCGGAGGAGGAGGAGGCCGAGCGGGTCTCCGAGCTGCTGGAGGCGCTGAGCCTGGACGTGAAGCCACACGCGGGCCCAGCGGCGACGCGTGCGGCTGCTGCGGGCGGCGGCGCGGAATGGGCCCCCGCGGGGGGTCACTGCCCTGCCGCTGGTGCCAAGGTGGCTGTGCCGGACGGTGCTCTTGACTACCTACCAGACCACCCCAACCCAACCCGAAGACCCCAGTTTCGGGTTGGGGGGGGTACGGGTTCCATATGTGTTTGTTCAGTGTTCCCCGACCCCCCCCAACTGGAAATGGAGGGCAAATTGAGGCCTTCGGGTTGGGTTGGGGTGGTTTGGTGGGTGGTGAGCTCTGGCGCCAGGGGCGCAGCTGGCTCCTGACGTGGTCTCAGACGCGCCCGTCTGGACCAGCTGGCAGGCGCGGCCGCGGCGGCGTGGCGCGCGGGCGGCGCCCGCGGCGCGGGGGCGCGCCGCGGGCGCCGCGGCGAGGACGGCCCGGGCGCCAGCGCCGCGGAGGCGGAGGAGCAGGAGCACGCCAGCGTGCACGGTGCAGGGCAGCTTCACGGGCGACCAGGACGACGGCCAGGACTTCACCTCCTGCTGCGCGGACTCCGAGGACAGCCAGGACGGCAGCGCCGCGAAGGAGGAGGAGGAGGAGGAGGAGCCCGACGGCGAGGACAGCTTCAAAGGCGACCAGGATAGGCACCAGAGCATCAACGAGGCGGAGGTGCGCATCAACGACCTGCCGAAGGTCCATGCGCGGTGGTGGGCCGCACAAACAACCCCCAAGCGGCGCGCGCAGAAGAGGCGCGCGAACCAGCGGAAGTACCCCGACACCAAGCCGAAGGCGTGGCAGCACGAGCGGGGCGCCTGCAGCAGTGGACAGTAGTCCATTGCAGCAGCACTGCCATTGCCCGCCCTCAGCTTCGCCGCTGCCGCGTGCCCTGGCGAGCGTGGATGGCAAGTGCTGCCCCAGTGGAGGGATCGACGCCCGACGTCTACCTCCACGACGGCGCCGCGGACCTTCATGCGCTTGACGCTGGGGCCCTTCAGGAAGTCAGAGCGCCGCAAGCTTTCCTGACGGACCTGGACAACGGGGACGTGCGCGGCAAGGGCAGGGTGCTGTCCCAGCTGTCCGCGCACGAACTGTTCGGGAACTGGGACCTGAAAAGAGACGAGCGCATCGACGCCGACGAGCTGCTCCACGCGAATGTGCGCCTCGGCACTGCGACTGCCGAGGCAAGGGTCCTCGCACTGGACGCGGACGGAGACGACAGGGCCAGCGGCGGCGAGATGCGCACGAAGGCTGCACGGCCACCAGGAGTCGGAGGAGGGCAACGTGAGACAACGGCCGTGAGACAACGGCGGCCCAATCGGCTCAAAATCGGTCCCCAGACCCCTCCCGGGGTCCGAACGCACCGATGTTTCACGCTGCGCCCGGCCGTGGCGACGAGGAGGCCTCTCGGAGGCGAAAAAGGCAAAAACTTGGAGGCCTAGAAATGGGCACCAACACCAACACAGGGACTTGCCTCCACATGGGGAAGACGATCCTAGATGTCGGTGTTGGTGGCAATATTTCGGCCACCTTGGAAGCCAGAATATTACCACCATCACCGAGATCGGGATCTTCTTCCCTCGGTAGAGGCACACCGCCGATAGTGGTGTTGGTGTCAATCTCTGGGCCTGCGAAAAGCGTCACCCTTGCCTCACCCCGCCCTCCTCTGCCAGGAGGTCGAGCGCAGCGCGGCCGCCAGCACGGTGGAGCGGCGCAGCCCCCGGCAGCAGCGGGGCGGTAGGAAGGAGGAGGAGGAGGAGGAGGAGGAGCAGCAGCAGGAGCAGGAGGAGGAGGAGGAGGAGGAGGAGGAGGAGGAGGAGGAGGAGGAGGAGGGGGGACAGTGCAGCGCGGCCGCGGGGACGGGTCGCGCTCGGCGGCGCCGACGGCCGCGGGCCGCTGGCGGGAGGCCCGCCGCGGCCGGCGCGGGCGCGCGGGAGGGAGGCGCGCCGCGCTCGCTCGGGCGCACCTGACGTGTTCGCTCGCCGCGCGCACGGAGTGTGTGGGGGTGGGGGGGCGTGACGCACGCCCCCCCCACACACCCCAAAAGACGTCCCAACTCCTCCTCCTCCTCCTCCTCCTCTCCTCCTCCTCCTCCTCCTCCTCCTCCTCCTCCTCCTCCCTCCCTCCTCCTCCTCCTCCTCCTCCCCCTCCCCTCTCCCCTCCCCCCTTCCACCTCCCCCTCCCCCTCCAGCCATTTCCTTATAAGATCATCATCATCATCATCATCATCATCATCATCATCATCATCATCATCATCATCACCACCATCATCTCATCATCCTCATCATCACCAGCAGCAGCAGCAACATCATCAGCATCATCATCATCATCATCATCATCATCATCATCATCATCATCATCATCATCAGCATCAGCATCATCATCATCATCATCATCATCATCATCATCATCATCACCACCATCATCATCATCATCCTCATCATCACCAGCAGCAGCAGCAGCAACATCATCATCAGCATCATCATCATCATCAGCATCAGCATCATCATCATCATCATCATCAGCATCATCATCATCATCATCATCATCATCATCATCAGCATCATCAGCACCATCAGCATCAGCATCATCAGTATCATCATCCTCGTCATCATCATGATCGGTTCTCCTCCTCCAGAGCTCTCGAGAAACTGCTTTGCAATTGCTTAACGACCCCTCCCAAAGAAATTGCGTTTGAACAGGAGAGGTGAACAGGAGAGGAAGTGTCCGGGCCTCCGTTCTGTGAGAGGTACCTCTGGGCATCTGCTTCAACAGCGGCTCCGACAGGTCACCTTGTGCGGGCGCCGTTCGGTAGCCCACCACGGCGAAGAGAAGCAGCCGCTATGGCAGCAGAAGGACGGGAAGGAAGGACGAGAAGGAGGACAGAAGAGGCGGGGGCAGAGGGAGGGAAGAACGAGGACAGAGGGGGGGGGGAAGAGGAAGACAGGAAGGAGTGAGGGGGGAGGGGGGGACGGGGCACGGGAGGGAGGGAGGGAGGGAGAGGAGAGGCGGAAGGAGGGAGGGAGGGAGGGGGAGGGAGAGGAGAGGGACCTCGGATGGGGAAGGAAAGAGGCGGGGAGGGGGAGGGAGGGAAGGACCCGAGGGAAAGAGGGACTCACGCCGTCGGCACAGCTGAGAGCAGAGGTGAGGGGGGAGGGGCAGGCAGCGTGGACGGATCGGAATACGATATCTCAGCGGCGAGAGAAGGAGGAAGAAGAGGAGCACTGGGACAAGGACTAGGACATCCGCATAAGGGGGTTACATCAGAGCAAGGAGCGGGAAGCGGTGCAGCGGCAGCAGTCGAATCGATAGCTGCAGCACAGGATGGGGGATCGCGGGAGGGTGGGCAGAGATGCCGACCCTCCTGCTAGAATACGGCGACCGTCAGGGCGCCAGGCCGAGCTCCGAAGGGTGGCGCCTGCAAACCAGGCGCCGCAGAGCGCGGCCGCTACATTGCGGCACGGGCCGACAGAGGGCAAACTATTGCCAGGATATGGAAGTGAGGCCACACAAATGCGCGGCCCCGAGAAATTTAGTCAGATGAGCCCGAGTCAACCTCCCCAGCACCACCGCCCACAACGGTGCTCGAAGCTGCCGCGGCAGCAGGAACAGAAGAGCACTGGGCAGTGGCGCTAGCACGGTCGGGAGATTCGGGCCTGCTCTCGAGCTGGATACCAGTGCCTGGACGTCGGCCACTCTCAGCGCGAGCAAGCTTTCTGAGGTGACCAATGCGCGTCGTCTGCACCTGCGAGACACCTCGGCGCGTCCGTCTTAGTCCCCGACAACAGCCATCGGGTAGCACCAAAAAGCACGCACCGTCAAGGCAGATCCCCATTGCGCAAAGGTCGGCGCTGGAGGTCGCTGAAAACTCTGAGGTCTTCTGCGTCCGATCCCGAGGGGCCCCTGGACCAAGGAAGAGGTGGGCCCAGGGTCGACAGGAGGCTCGAAGGAGGAGACTCCTGGCAGGGGCCCCAGGATCGCGTTTGCAAGCTCCAGGGCAGGCCCCGCTGCGGCCGTCGAGTCTGACGCGACAGCCAGGCCTTGCTCTGCTATTTTGTTAAGAAACATGTTGGCCTGCCACTGCTGAATGGCCGTTGGCCTGCATTCACGACTTCCCCCCGTTCGCAGACCCTTGAGGGTCTGGTCGGCGGTCGCTGCCATGTTGCAGCGCCTACATCTCCATTCGCCGCGAGCTTCAGCATAACAAAGTTCGTGCTTTGAGAGCGAGGGCATCGGCGCTGCGCCGGGGGCCTGTCTGGGGGGCGGCTGCGGGACTTCAACCTGGTCTGCCGCAATGCGAATTATCTGGATGGCCCGCGCTCAAAAATCCCAGGTTAGCTGATGCCTTTTAATATGGGCATTCTCGGCCTTGACAAAAAACATCTGGGACCTGGTGCATACTCGACCCTAGTCTGGCGAAAAAATCGGCCCATGCATTTCCAAGGTCGTCTTGGATGTCTGAGCTCGCGCACAAAAGTCTGTCCTCTGGCTCTCGGTGCGCTGGGACCCAACGGAAACTTGGCCTCTGTAGGCCTTCGCCTTGAAGCTCGAAAATCTTGCGCCATAAATCTGCATGCACATTACGGGCAGCCGCCAGATCTGGATCCCATGAGCACCCTTCGTGAACAAGCTGGAGGTGGTCAGTGACCACTTCGGCCCCTTGGGGTGCAACTTCGATCGCACGCAGCGCCGCGTACCTCCCGGCGCGGGGCACCGTCTGGCGCCCAGGCAAAGGCCCGTAGAGAGCCCTGTGGGGCACGCCCCACTGGTCCACTTCGACGGCAGCCCATCCACACCGTCTAAGTTCTGGGCTTGCGTTCGCAAGCCCTGAACCGTCGGTATAGATACGCCTGCCCCAGGGTCCCGTCGTTGCACCTCAATGAACCGTGGGAGCCTCGGGGATCTCTGGTACACTGAGGGAGTAAAAAGGGAGCCCATACGCAAGCTCCAGAGTGCCCCAGTCAGCCTGTAGTCCCGAGTACCCCGAGTCCCGTAAAGTTTCTCTGTGATCTATAATGTCATCAGGAAGGGGCTCTACATCAAGATCCTCTGGGGGCTGGGTTAAAAGTGGGCACTGGTACAGCTGGTGCCCTAGCGTAGCGTTGGGGTTCGGGCAGAAATCACAGGCGGTCGCCACTCGATATCCTGCTGCACATTTCCTCGATGGCGGCCAGCACCCTGAACCCAGCAGTAGCCGCGCACAGCCTCTCCTGGCATCGTCCTTGATGCGAAAGATTGCATGTCTGAGCCCTCGCCGCCATACTTCTTCAGAACCAAATGCTTCAGGAATATGCGCCAGTATGCGTTTCATCTGCCATCTTCCTAAGGACTCCTGCAGCAGTCTCTTGACCTCCATGGGCGGCGCGTGCAGCAGAGAAATCATTGTTCCTTTATCATCGACGACTTGGTGCGCAGATACCATAGCCCAACCAGTTCTTGAAAGCGACAGCAGAGTCGCACTCATGGGTCCATGGCACTTGGCCCATGTGAGCTTATTTCCTAAATCACTCTTCATGACCAAGAAAGCTCTCTGAAGGTCGGCAACTGAACATATGTTGTCCCATATCGTGCTGGCAAATCTGACAACTAGCAATATCGTCGCGTCGTATATAGGGTCGTAGAACTCATCCGCCTGTGTGGAAAGCCAAGCTGTGATAGACACGTGTTGGCGCGCTCCCGCGAGTACAGCCGCAATAGATCGAAGTGAGTTGAGGTTGGCATCAGTGATGCCACTAACTCCTGCTCCATGTGCGGCAGCGGGTAGCAGTCCTGTTCTCCACAAGGTTCGGACTTTGTGGTTCGCGCCTCTCACAAGGGCACGAAGCTTGGGTTTCCTAGCCATCAGTCCAGCCATCCTTTTTCTTCTCAATCACTCGTCTGGCCTTGGGCCCAGAAAGATCATGTCCGAGGTTACGCATATGAGGACACAACTTCATCCTGAGCCGTTTGACGAAAGGCGTGATTACGTTCTTGGCAGCCGCATTTGTCGCAACACATCCACTCTTAGCCGCTTGGATAACCAATCCCAGCTCAAAAGCACCCTGCGTAAAGTACTTGACTGCCGCGAACAAAACCTTGGCTTGTTTGGAGTCCTCTCCCGTCCATTGGAATCCCGTGTCGTCCATGAGCATGCGCGGCACGACTGTGTCGTAGAGGTCCCTCATTCGAAGTAGAAGCTGGTGCAGTAGCAAGTGGACCATCGTTGTCGCGTGTGTACATCCAGCTAGAATGCCCTGAAAAGATACATATTCATAGGAAATCGACCCCCACGCTCGCACCACTCGTGGACATTGGTAGTTGGCTAAGATAAGCCAGGGGGGTCGTAGTGGGTATCGCAGCACCTAGGCGAAGTCGGCTAGCTTCTGCAATTTAATCATCTCGAAGCACTTGTACATGTCGATCAACACTGTTACTGACGTGTGTCCTTTGTATCGTGCAACTTCTGCTTGCAGGTTGTGTGAGAAAGCTGAATCTGATGATGCTGCAGCAGGCCTCGCTCCCCAGAAATCAGGATTCTGGCTATCACGCTCCCATCTCCTCGAACTAGGTCTGCGGAATCGGGCCCATATACGCACAATCGTATTTAGTAATGCCACCAGTCGGTGTCCTCCTGGTGCTTTTGACAATCGAACAAGGCGTGTCTGTACCCTTTTTATCTGGCCAGCAACATAGCCTCTCGCACGCCTGCAAGAGGAGTAGAAGTGCCCGAAGTCCATAGTCTGATACAACATCCACCGCCTTGGGATGAAGGTTGACATGTCCAAGTGCTGAGTTGATTTTGAACTTGCGCAAGACAATGCGCAGGTCCTCCACGCTGACTTCTGGAAGCTGGCTCCATGTCGAGAAGTCAGGTGGCAACTTCAGGCGTCTTGAGGCATGTGTGGCCCAGATCTCAGCCCAGGTATCCATACAGGAATATACCATCTCGAAAGGCTGCGACTGCTGGGTGTGCTCGAGCACTTCCTGCAGGTCCCTGAGCTTCAAGAAACGGTGCGCCTGTATCGCTCCATTGTTGAAAGATGCCGTTGCCCACTCCGTCCATTCTGCCGTTTTGAGTGCTCCTATAGCTTGGACCACTCTCTCAACTTTGTCTATGACGAACTGTGCAGAGCAAGGAGCACTGGGAGGAGGAGAAGGAGAAGGAGGAGAAGGAGGAGGCGGAGGAGGAGCAGGAGGGAGAATGGGAGGAGCGGTGGGGAGAAGAAGGAGAAAGAGCAAGGACAAGGGAAGACGAAGACGAACAGGAAGAAAGCGAGCAGGCAGAAAGACATCGGGGCGCTGTCATAGTCAGCCAACTGCGGGGAAAGTAGACCCTTAACAGCGTCAGTGACGCAACCTCTCACTTCCGCCAAGCGCTGCAGGTGGGGATGCCACCTAATAGCTCTCGACCCGCCCAAAGGCGAGAATGAGGGAGGAGGGAGGAGGCGAAGAGGAGGGGAGGACGAGGAGAAGGAGGAGGAGGAGGAGGAGGAGAAAGGGAAGAGAGGATGAGGCCACAGTTGGAGGAGAGGGAAGAAGGGAGGAGGAGCAAGTGGGAGGAGGAGAATCAGAGGGAGAAGGAAGTTGAGTGAGGATGGAGAGGAGGGGGCAAGAGTATGGAGAAGGGAGGATGAGAGCGACAAGTACGTGAACGCACAGGAGCGCCTCCCCATGGCCATTGCGGAGCGAGCCTTTACCTCCGAGGACATCCGCTTCCGAAACTACGTGCGTCTTTCTTCCGCTGGCTTCCGCAAACCTTCCGCCATGTTTAGCCAAAGGCGAGCGATCACGTTGTGGCCTTCCGCACAGACGAGACCCTGCTGAGAACGACCTGCACGCGCACGTGCACGTGTACACACTGCAAACACGCACAATCCCTTGCTCGCGATGGCAAGTTGTCGGCAAAGAAACACAAAAGTGCATACCATGGAAGCGTCCGCATTGTACACGCGGCGCGAGCGCGAGCGCGTGCAAAAGCTCGGGCACGCATGTGGGCTTCTGCGCCCAGCAACCACGCGTTCCCCCCACGTGACTTGGCTCACACATGCTCACCCGTACGCGCATATCTGAAAGCAAGCGCGGGCAAGGACGAGAAAGCACACGAAGGTGCGCGGGTAGTCACCGAGACTAGACTCACGACTGCCAGCTTCAAAGCTCCCCGTGGAGTGCTTGGGCCTCGCCAAAGATGCAGGGCATCCCCGTCTCGTGAGGTGGCAAGGGGATGGGCGAGACAATAACAAACAGAACTACCTTCCGACAAAATCGGGACTACGATTGTGCCTGTTTCTGTTATGTACGTAATGCGAAGCCATGGAAGCGCATCATCGTCGGTGCATGGATCAATGACTCACCTCGCATGTCACGAACACATGTTAAAGTCAACCACTAACAGACTGCCTGCCATGGGCATGGTCGCAAGACGCACGGGAAGTGCTCGTCATGGAAAACTGGGTCCACGCTGCGCCCGCGCGTTGCGCATGTGAGAACACCTCGACCGTGTCAAACAGTGCGCCAGATACATGTCTGGCACGTGAGCGCGGAGGGGTGGGGAAGCAATCCCCCCGAAGCATGAAGCCATTGCCGCCTGATCTGGCGACGGTGCGCGTCGTCCCCTGTATGGACGCGGGGCCCGTCTCTGATCCGCGCGCCCTAACCCATGGGTTAAGTCGGACCTGTCTCCCTGCAGGGGGATCTTCGAGGAAATATAAAAATAGTCAAAAAATATTCAAACATGATCAAAAAATGCTCAAACATGGTCAGAAAGAGTGCCAAGAAAACCAAACATAGCCAAAAAATGCTAAAACATACTCAAAAATAGTCCAAAATCGTCCCCAGACTATTTTCCAACTATTTTGGGATGCTCCTCCTGTCGAGGGACGGGCCCGACCTGACCCAATGGGTTGCGCTTCCGCGATTCCGGAGCCGCCGCCCCCTGCCCCCCCCCCTCCCCAAGGCCCCCTTCGCCCCCCCAACACCCTGAAGTCGGGCCTGTCCTCCTACAGGGGGATCGTGGACGAAGAATTAAAAAAATCGTCAAAACAACACCCCCAAGTGGTCAAAAAAAACTCCACAAGTAGTGTCCCCGGAGTATGTGTTGGCTATTTTTGGATATCCCTCCTGTAGAGGGACAGACCCGACTTAACCTCACCCCTCATAGCGCGGTAGCCGAGGCGCCGCAGCGCCACTCGCATCACCTACGCAGGGAGAGATGCTTCGCCTCCCGCTCCTCATCCAGCCCTGTCAGAACTTGCCGTTCGATCTCGGCTCCCTATCCAGTGTCCCGGCGGACAGCGTCACGGTCTCTGGTCTGGGGGAACAGCAAGGTACTGGTACCGCTGCTCCCCGGGCCTCTCCCGGGGTGCGCCGTGACCAGCATCTCGGAGGGAATCCAGCCGTGGCGGCGAGGGCCCTCCAGGACGAGCAGCGGCATCGATAACTACCCCCTCCTCCTCCGACGGTCTCCCCCGCCCCGCGCGCGCCCGTGGTGGTGGGACACTCCGCCGTGCTCCTCCGCCTCCTCCAGCCTCTTGTACTCGATGATCTTGGGCAGGATGTGGTTGGTCCTGAAGCGGAGGCAGGGCAGCGGAGGAGGCGGAAGAGGGGGTGACGGGGCGCGGGAGCCAGACCGCGGGGCCCTGTGCGGGCAGCTCGCGCGCGAGCGTCGGCGCAGTCGAGCCCGTTGTGTGGCGTCGCCCACACGGTCCGTCGATGGTGGGTGAACCTGTGGGCGGCCAGTCCACAGTAAGGAACCGAACTCTATACACCGATGTTTTTTCCGGTCCCGCACTGAGATTCGCACAAGAAAACGGATTCTGGTGTATACGGCATCCTGGTGTATACAATTTTTGTTTCCACGAGAAAACGGGGAAACAAGTATACACCACACCACCCCGACGTCGTCCCCGACCCTCAGAACTTCCTGGGATTGAACAACAGCCCGCCACTGGTAATGTATACGCTTCAATTTCCGACACAGGAGACCTTCCGCAAGGAAACCCAGCCCTGAGACCCCGGGACGTCCACGGACTGCTGGTGCGGGAGCGTCGCGCTGTCCACGGCAAAGCCATCGAGGCCCAGGAAGCCCAGGGCACCCTGGAGGCAGGCAGGGTGTCCCCCCAGGAAGGGAGGAGAGAGGAGGAGGAGGAGGAGGAGGAGGAGGAGGAGGAGGAGGAGGAGGAGGAGGAGGAGGAGGAGTTCTTGGCACGGGCCCCCACTGTACGTCAAGAATGAACCCGAGAGCTGCGTGGCGCGGTCGACCCTGATCCGCCTGGGAGTACAGGGCAGTTTTTTATACATAGGATGTTTTCAAAAATATGAGTTGTTGTTTAGAAATTATGTTGAAAAACATATGAGTTCAATACATGGTTAACGCATGCTTACATGTATGCATGAGCTCGTCGTTGTTTTTAATGCTAGCTCCCTGCATGTTTAATACACGATCCGCACGCGGAGCACGTATTAAAAACGGCACTGTACCTGGTTTGAGCGAACTCGCCATCGCTCGGGCCTCCGCTCCCCACGCATATATTCCGACGTCGCGCCTGCAGCTCTTCGCAAGAGGGCACGGGATGCTCCTCCTGCCGTCGCTCGGACGTTCATTTCCCGTGCTTGCTTCGGTTTCGTGCGTGTTTTTGTTTGCTCGAGGGTCCAGGATGGTCCTCGATGGTCCCCGCCGAGAAAAAAATGCACACGTCCGAGCGATGCCGGGTCCTCCGTAGCCCTCGCCGAGGGCAAAACTGCACGCGCCCGAGCAGTTCCAAAGGGGGCAAAAGGACGGCGGAGGGGGCCTCCCCACCGCTTCCGCAGAAGGGAGCGGTGCGGCAGAGGAGGGAGAGGCCTGGGACTTGGAGGCCGCCGGGGGGGCCTGACTCTATTGAGACCCCAGGGGGTCGGTCGGAAATGGATGGAGCCAAACTCGCTCAAGATCGATCCCTGGACCACTCCCGGGGCCATCGGAAGTGGATGAAGCCAAGTCCGCTCAAGATCGATCCCTGGACCACTCTCGGGGTCAATCTGATGCAGATTTTCACCCGGGATCCGTTTCTGACTGTCCCTGGGCCCGACATCGTCCCCCTCAGGCCGAGGAAGGCAAAAGAGCCTCTCCGAAGCCGGAACCTCGAACCTGCCCGCCTGTGCTTCTGGCCGGCCCAGTGATGGGCCGCCTCAGACCCCCAGCCGGCTCCAAGGAGGGTTGGGGTCAGGAAACAGACCGGAGTCGCGCCGGCGCGGACGCGCGGCGCAGAGAAAAAAGCCAGCGCTGGGGTGCAGGTCGGCGAATGAGCACAGCGAGAAGGCGAGAGAGTGACAGGAGTAGATCAGGAGGAAAAGAAACACACAGACACAATGAATCCTCGATCTCCCAGAAAATATGGGGAATCTTTTTATTTGTGTGTATTTGTTTGTGTGTCCCATGGCCCCTTCAGTAGAGTCGGCCCAGATTAGCAGGTCGACCCCGCCAAAGCAAGGGCACCCTCGTGTCCCGTGTCTCGCGACCCATGCCTCCTGCATTTCTGTGGCAACGTGGCCCTCAGCAGGGCCTTGTGCCCTCTCGCGCGTCCTCTCCAGTGAAGTCCGACTGCAGAAGGGTTGCCGCGGAGAGGAGAGCGCGGGCGGGCGACGCGCTCCTCGGGGAGCCGATCTTGGAAGCCCTGTGCGTAGACCCTTGCAAGTCCGTCTTTCGAGCACTCGCGTCGAAGAGCGTCGGGTAGTTTCATCGACGGGACAGCTTGGCGTCGACGGGCGTCGATCAGCATGGCTTGAGCGTCGATCGGCGTCGACTCGCGTCGACTAGCATCGATTCGCAAGAGTCAGCAAGATGGTACTTCACAGCGTGGACTTGGGGATCCTCCTCGCCCTCCTCCCACCCTCTTTTCCCCCCCGCCTCTGCACCGAGAGAAGAAGCACGGTGACTATGACCAAGATGTCGCGGGCGATGCCGATCTTGGTCATAGTCTACGTCGGCCGTCGCCGATCCGCAAGGGATGATCCACGAGATCACGCTGAGCAAGATCGACGGTGGCCAAGATCGGCACGACGCCTCCCCGTTCAGTCTTGGTCATGGTCCCCGTTTTTTTCATCCCCTCCACAAAGTGTCCAAATGAGCCACGCAGAAGAGCGGGGTCGTCTTCCCCGACATTGGCGCGCAGGCTGCCCGCGCCAGCTCGCGCGTGAGCGCCCTCGTTTCCAACACAGCGTGCCGCGCCGGCGGCCCGCACAAGCCACCGCGTAAGGTCGCTAGGGGGCCACATGCGAACCCTACCCCTACCCCCCACGATTTCTGAGGGGGAGGGTGGGGTTCACTTCGTTCGGAAGCTCCCGAACGAAGTGACCCCACCCTCCCCCTCAGAAATCGTGGGGAGTAGGGGTAGGGTTCGCATGTGGCCCCCTAGTCGCTGCGCCATCTCGCAGAAAACCCGTTGCCGATCGTCGTTCCAGTCCAAATTCAGGAGGGAAAAAACACACAGACACAGTCAGTCGTCGATTCCCCAGAAAATAAGTGAAAATACGGGGGAAGTGGGGGGGAAGACAAAAACCCAGACAATGTTTGGAAA